TGTGTGAATATAATCTTTTTATTTAATAAAAAGATAAAGTTGTGCCAGTTCAAGCGTCATGTATACTGACAATGAGACGTACGTTCATGAATCTAATGTCTATCCAAGTGTTGCTGATCAAGCGGCTGAACCCACGTGGGTACGTTACGCACCCATCGTGACGACCTCGCCGACGACAGTTCTCGTCGATGCAAAATGCGTGGATGAGGAGGCGGATGTTACCACGCGGTTCTCTCGCGTTTTATCGGGCATCTCGTGGCCTCTCGACTCGCGCGGCATACCGAGTCGCGCTCGAATACGCTTTACCCGTCCCCATTAGCCTCGCATCTCAGTTCACTCTCCCGGCTTCTTCTCTCCTCGTATGTATATAATAAATATATACATGAGATTCACGTACACGCTGTCGCGTCGCCGCGTTCCCACCCGCATATCATCAGACCCCCGACTTCAAGGATCCTAAAGAGCCGCGCTAAACGTCGACAATGGCGATTATGTAATACCGATGAAAAGGACCAATTAATGTGCAACCGATATGTAGTTCACGGTTCTTGATTCCATTAAAAATTGTAATACATTAAATATTTTAGACTGTACACCTATTATTAAAATAACCTACCAAAATTTGAATTAAACAGAAACTAAAGTCTAATATAACAATTTAATAATTTCTATATTAAACATACGATTATGTGTGTGTGTATACTATACTTATAATTTATTCCTTGTAATATGTTATACGCGATTCATGTTATCTTATTAAAAATTTCGATTATATATTATAGTATGTCATATTTTTAATGTATTACTTAAATTATAAATATAGTAATTATATAGAACTATAGATATAAATTCAATTTTATTTAAATTATAAAAATGTGAATTAAAAAGTGTGAAATATAAATTAATTCAAAATTTAATAGCGATTTAAAATTAGAACTAGATAATGATTAAGTAATATGATAATTAAAATATCTATACAAAATATAGATAAATATATATAAAATATGTATATTTGAAAATATATTATATTATTATATGTGCTATATATAAACTATTACGTGCCCGATTTGAACGGACTCCGGAAGTGTCAGCCTATTTCTGATTTCGGTCCAGTAATAACCCAAAGGCCAATGTCACCCAGATTTCTCAATCGAAGCTGCAACCTCATTCGATAACGCTAGATGAGACGTACGCAATTGTGGAAGAATGTCCAACGTTAATGAGACAATCACGAAAATTGTGAAAACTCATCCAATATTAACTAGGAAATTACGAAAATGTGGGTAATGCGCGGAATATCTTAAGTGAATCAAGACCGCTCCTTCATTACATAATTATTCCTGATGTAACTATGTGAGCACAGTATGATAGATTACATAAGAAACAACGGAATAGAATGCAACTACCCCGAGGAATAAAATTACTTGAGAAGTACCCGCTGTCTAAAACAATAAAATAAATCAATGTTTTTAAAACGGCACGAGTTGTATTTTTTTCGACTTGCTGAATTTAATCCGCTAGCCGATAATCAAAATTTAATTTGATTATTTAATTTATAAAGCAAAGGGAAATATGTTTATTTCATACTCCTCTTTTTCAGAAAGATTGAAATTAAGTATAACAAGTACCGAGGACGACAAAACATTTTCATCAGTTTTAGAAGCAATAAAACCTTCAAAGATAAAAAAAAGAGAAAGAAAGAACTTAATTCCTTTTAATTCCGAGCAAAACTCAGCTTATTGCACGGTCAAAACAAATCGTACCAATTAATAAATTGACACGAGCAAAAGAAGCTTATTACTCCCCTGACTTCCGCCAATTTCGCGCAAATCGCATTCTTGACTGATCGATCGAGCATCGGAGCGCATCCTTACGGAACATATGCACGCGTGCACGCGCGCGTGTCCGTGCCTTCACACATGCATGGTGTTAACAGCTAAGTAGAAGGGGTGGGCCCGTCTTGTTGTCGTCGTCGTCGTCGTCGTCGTCGTCATCGTCTTAAGAGGGGGGAACGAGATCGACACGATGCGTGGACCAGAGGAAGAGAAGAGAGACCGATACGGAGACAGAGAGCAAGAGATAAGGATGGTTGAAGATGTTGAAGAGAAAAAGAGAGAGAGAGAGAGAGAGAGAGCCCTCCCAGATGAGTTCTCTCCTCGAGTCCACAATCTACGGCTCCAGTCTCGCGTCGAGTCCCGTCGCGGCGCATCTTTCCGAGGTCCGTCTCCCTTGGGACCGATCGATTTCGAGCGGGCCGAAAGATCGATCGCCGGTCCGCCGGCAAATCGGAAGTCGCATAGGTGTTTCTTTTCACTTTAATTTTCCCCATTGGTGACGTGGATCTTGACTTGAAAACTGTACGTTGCTTGTCTCCTAGATATTTAAATTATATGCATCGTTGCTTGATAACGCGTGAACATCGCGAAGAAATAAAGTAGATAAATTATAAAACATAAAATAAATATTTGCTTCGAAAAAATTGTCTGTTATAAGCTTGTTTTGATAATTATTATTTATTTAATATTTGAATTAAATACTTCATGTTTTAAAGCATTTGAATATATGTAACCACAGAAAAATTGCCATGAATTTCAAATTGATTTAAATATGTGTAATCACAAAAATAATTTTCAGTTCTTAATCTTTAAATGATCTCTCGAAGATCTTTTCTAGTCCCATACGTTAGATAGGGAAAATTGAGCACCACGTCGTCGATCGTATCATACAGATCATCATCCGCGGTACGTGTCAGGGATTAGATCGAGTCGCGAATCTGAATTGGGGCTCGATTCGCGGAGTGCTGATCTAAGCGAGCGATTTTTTGAGAATGATCTTTGATCGCGGCACTCGGCTCGTTCACGCGTGATCGCGTGCGCCGTTGGAGATCACAACGAATACAGTTAATTCGCGATATGCGCGATCGCCGACCAGCCCACGCGTGTGTCGCAGATCTGTTAGCGCGAATATTTGCGAGCGACTCGTGCTAGTTATGGAATTATACTAGACTGCTGTTCGTTTAAACAGGTACGTCCGAAAGGGTTTGAGACTTTTTAACTCGTCGCGATAAAAATTTTATTTTTCAAAAGAAGGAGAGAATCCTTGTCTTTTTCAAAAATATTCTCTCCCTTTTTTTAAAATAAACTTTCTTGTTTTCGGGGAAAAAACTTCGAAAAAAATCTTAAAACTTCTTCGCGAAAAGAGGAAGTGTGAGACAAAAGAAAACGGATTTTTTTCTTGTTCTTTTATTCTTATAATTTGTTCGTATAAATTATTACGTAACCAAATGAATTTTTCTCGGAAATTTTCGCTTCCACGCAAAGAGAAGCTTTCAATAGGCCCGATAACGCCGTAGTACAGACTTTACGAGCTCATTCGTTACGGTGGTGAAACGCTCAAAGCTGAAACGCTCCGCTCGAGGTCCTATCTCAATTCATTCCGCTC